CATAAAGCTTCATTTCCAGATGTTTTACCTGCTTCAGCAGAAATAAGGTAACTGCAGGCTAGCCCTGCAAAAAGTCTATTAGCCGATCTGTTTGTTATATATAATGTATAGGAACTGTTAGCACATTGGTCCATCTTGCTCACTTACGTCATTGGGGTGAATCTGCAAACCAATCTTGCTTTACATATGTTCAAAGCTTTCTTTAGAATGAGTGCACCCGAAACACAAATCCTGCTGCATCTTCACCGTAAAGTCACTCGTGGGCGGCCTATAGCTAGAATAACTGTCGCGTTCTCCTCCACTCTCCTATTAAAGGCTGACCCGTACCAGACAGATTGTGGAAATGAGACACAGTACACATTAACTCCAGTCACATGTTAGTGGCAGTCAAGGTGTTATAATGTGTTGTAAAATATATGGTCTATAATCCTGAAAGTGTTCATGCCTTGTGCTTGAGGCAATGTTGTAAGAAGCCCTGTGGATTATAATTATAGGATAATCTGAGTCTAAAAATAATTTCCCCTCACTGCCACAGACGTAGGCCTAGCCTTATTACTTGGTGATGCCCTGAGGAAGAAGGATTACATCCCTTATGAACTTTCACAGAGGAAATCCAGCTCAGACAACAGAGCTGCACACCCGCCCTTTTCTCTTCACCACCAAGGGCATTCCTCTACCTCTACACACCACTCCCCTTGATGTTCAGGAGAGAGGGGTCAACAATAAGTTTAAACAGCAACAAAAAAGACAAGCATTATGCATTAATGCGCTGTATTTATGGCGCATTAAGTTTAGTACCTGTAGTCATAGGAACTAACTCAATGCGCGGTAACAGGCACTACTGCACAGTAGCGCAGCACGCACCTTCTTAGTGATGCTAATGCACAGTAGACTAATTCTCCTGCGCATCAGCCCATTAGCACAGCTTTTGTCGTGACAGACTAAGAGCAGGAGAAGTGCTCTACTGTGCATTTAGCGTCTCGTGTAGACGCGCCCACTGACGGTGAATTAACTTCTTAACAAAGCGGGACCACAGGGCACAGGCACCTCCCCAGTCACGAACTCAGCCTCCCGCCATCACAGGGAATTATGATATGAAAATAGGTCTAATGATATAGGCTGGCAGGTCTGAGATAAAAGCAATCTGGCTGTCCATGGATTTGAAATGTCTGAGCACTTTCCTGTGGTGGGCTCATTCAATCCTGCCACAGTCCATGAAATAATATTCATTATCATAGTTATCCCCATAGCATGTTGAATGAAGTTGCCAAGCTCCTGGGAATGGCAAGGGAACATAACAGAAAAAAGAGAAAGCTAATACAATAATACCAAAAAAATCCAAACCGCAACAGAAAAATTTCACAGGAATTCAGCACGTGCAGTTCCCTGATGGCTTACCTGAGTACAACCGAGTCCTGACTTCGCACACTAAACAGGTCAAACCATGAGACTGTGATTGCAACATCAACCGCATATTCATTTTACTCATTTCCCTAATATATTAAAATCCACTAACTAAAGCAGTAAAAGAATTCTGTAATCAACCCCTGGGGTGCATCAACCTTGGGTAAAATACAATCTGTGTAGTAGCTGTTACAATATTTCCAATTGGACTTTGTTATAAATAGAGCAGAGTTATGACCCCTAATTACATATTACTTCTATAATTAAAGTAAACGAACCCTGGATTTGGCTTCTTGTCAGGTACTTACTCCAAGATGTCTCTTCTTCAGTAACAGGTATGGCAGGACTTCTCAGATGGAGGGAAAGCTGCTTGCTCAGTCGCACAAAATGGAGGGGAAGCTCTCCCCTCAATGCCTCAGAAGATGGAGGGGAAACTGGTTCTTCAGTGCCTCAGAAAATGAAGGGGGAACTGTCCCCTCAGTGCCTCTGGACTCCTGTCACAGTATCTCCCTACCACAAGACCATATCTGATATTGGATCCATGTAGCATTTGCCTTAAGTTACTCAAGGCTGCTCTTTTCATCATGCACAGGTCTTCTGAGAAATCAGGAAACAGTGAGGTTTTCTATCATTTAAACCTAAGATTTCCCTTCTTCGTCAATGAGGACAAAACCCGAGCCGTGGCAGATCCTCAGAGGCTGACATAGACGTGTCCGGGGTTTGAGCCTGCCCTGGTACGTGGATCCTGGGGCGAGCTCCTTTGTTGGCTACAAATGTCCAGCTCGGGATCCTTAAATTTCTGGTTTATTAGGTGGATTGAAACACTGTAATGAGTTAAATCATAAACCTTGGGGCCGGTCCTTCCACACACACACACACACACACACACAGTAGCAAACTACATGAGTCAGGTATACCTATCCTACAGGCGCTGGAGTCTGTCATTGAGGCTTCTTTCAACGTGGTGTTATCTTCTAGAAGGGGGTCGCCGGCTGGTCCTTCTGGCTGGACAGGTCGAGTGCTGGTCAAGTTGGAGTCAAGAGGGCGCCACTGAGGGTCACTTTTCACTGCCTTTTATCTGTCCTTGGCAGACTTTGGTGACTCCCCAGTTTTCAGGTTTGCCCAATCCAGGGGCCATTGACCCTCATGGGACTTCCCCCCTCGTTGGCTATTGGATGGCATCTGTCAGCCCCAGGGGTCATCCGCATGTATGTGCAGGTTTGGGAGTCCATTGATGAATTTTGAATAGGGCTCTGGGAGCGGTCGATTTGGAGATATTCAGCACAAAAGTTGGTCCCCAGCGTTGATTAACTCAGGCCAGGGCTTCTAGCCCTTGATCAGTGAGGTTTAGAGATTTCCCGGTTGTTACATTGTCTTCTATTGAGTTCTTCCCTTGGTTGATCTGCAGTTTTCTTAGGTGTTAATTGCCTGCCTGCTACTGTGTTACACATTCAATCACTGATTCACTCGCTCTTTCAGGGGCCAGCCTGATACAGGGAAGGACAGTTTGATTCCTGCCCTTGTTAACCTTTTTACAATGTATAAATTACTTATGAAACTAAACACGTTTAGTTGAAAGTTGAAAGGTGAGGAGTATAAAATATAAGCTACAAAAGTAATGCCATGGCACACAAATAGATAAAAAATACCAAAATACAAGGGGAGGTACAAAATGCACACATAGAAGTTTCAAAACACAATTCCTTATCTTAAAGTGAAAGAAAGAGGAAGGAAGAAAAGGCAGAAGAGGAAAAACATACTCAAGGGTGGGAGAGCAACTGCAGGCAACAGGAAACGGGGCTTTCTGCTACACCTTCACTCTCTGGAGGCAATGAGAGATCTTTGGGATTTCTGGCAGGACGTGTTGTAGGAAACCGTCATATTTGCTCCCTCACCGCCCCCAGGAATCCCAATTCATCTCGTGTGATTTCTACCACAGTGAAACCCCCGTTCATCTTACTGCTGTTTGAATCTGTTGATCTTTAATTGAAGACCACCGTTCTCTTTTTTCTTCTCCATCAGATCACTGTTGTTCTTATGCACCTCCCTTTCCAGGATGACAGTGTCCAATTTTGTGTCATCAGCGTCTGCAGAAAGCCCACTGATGTCTGAGAGCGTCCCTCCAGGTTCCTTGACAAACTCTGCCTCGGAGAGGAGATCCACTGAGACACCACGGCCTGAGGCACCTCGCTCCCATCACCGACCTGTCTGGGACATCCAGGCCCCTTCGCTTCACATGATTACATTCATTTACACGGCTTGCTCATGCCATAGATAGCTGGATAGATAGATAGATAGACGGTAGGCCTGTGCAAAGCAGCTAGTATTCGCTTCGGATTCAGATTTGGCCAAATCAGTGGACAGCAATTTGTTTTGGTGATACGAATCACTGTCCTGAAACAATTCTGCTGAGTGTAGTTTGGAGATTTGGCTGCTGCTGAATCCGCTGAATCTCCAACTCCCACAGGCCTCATCCCCCACCTGCTCTCCCAGCCCAGCCATGGCTGCCTCTCCTGCCTCAGCGCTGGCCCTTTAAGGAAAAAAAACAAGGAGGAGCAAGAATGTTTTTTTTGTCCTTCACTTGCATATCCCCCTTGGCTTTGTATATGAAGAGATGAAGATGCCAACAACTGTCTTGGCTGCGTATAGAAAACGTCAAGGATGTTCATGTCATACAGCGTCAAACCTGCAACTTTCCTAGCACCCCATGCTTTGTTTTCCACTACAGCCATCCCCTGCCCTCGCCAGCAGGCAGCTCTGCAATCGGCTTCTGCAATGAGTCCTGATGCTACCACACTGGGAACCCACTGCACGACAATAAAGAAATGAATTTGTTCTTGACATGAGGGGGAACTCAGCCAAGAGGGGAAAAAAATGAAACAGGAAAAGCTAAAATCACTTCAGGTTTCTCTTTTCCTTTTTAAGTGGAATTCTGTAGATCTGGGAAGCATCTGAAGTCCTCTATCCAGACTATCAGTCAATGAGCATCAGCTGGCTTCGCTGGTGACTGAATCAGAAAATTTCAGGTGCGCCCCCGCACATAATAAATACAGGCTCCTTCCCCACTTTGAGTTTCATACCCGCCCTCCAATAACAGGTAGATACAAGGATGCAGACAGGGCCTGGGCTCCCCCGCTTTCAAAGAGATGCGTTTACAATCCAGGATTGCAGATGAGATCTGCTTAGGATTGATTTGTCTTAATTTGGACATGCTTTTGGTCAACCCAGGTTGGAGGTAGGAATGACTCGGAGGGAGGTATGAGAGCACTCTCTGTTTTTAATAGTACAGGAGGAAAGATCTGGAGAGATCTGAGGGCTGATATTCTGTTTCTGCAAAGAAGAAAGCGCAGGATTACCACTCCTGGAGCCACGGCTAAAAGGACCAGGGGCTTTATATAAGAGAGAAGTGAAAACATCCCATCTGGGCTAGGAGGAAAGCCCAGGGCACACAGACATGCTCCAGGGCTGATTTTCATCTCTGTGTAGCACTTCAGTAGGACTTGAGTCATGCTGGGTGCGGGGCTCTGCATGGGAGGGAATTTCACCAGCATGTCTGCAAATAAGGAATGGAGGGGAAAAAACCCAGGAGGCAAATATTATGCTGCAGAGTAAGTTTAATGCACAGAAGAAATTGAGAATACAGACACAGAAGGGATATAGAGGAGAGTACAAATATTCCCAAGGTTTTCCAAAGGGCCACAGCTGGGATTATTTGCCTGTTGTCACCAAACATCTTCTACACGTCTGTGGCTGTGTCAAGTGGTCTGCAGTAGATTGAAGGTGGACTGTAAGGAGGCAGGGGCTTAATTTAAAATGACAGCACAGCATGAAGAGGTCTTAATGCATAACAGTGCGGAGAATACAAAGTTCCTAGAGTAACAAAGCAAAGCGTAGGAGACAGGTGTATGGGGAGGGAGTCTTGTAGCAATGCCGAGCCCTCACGCTGGAGGTGCTGAGTGCTTAGCACTGCTCCAAGCCATGTCCGTCGGGTCGGCCGTGAATCTGTATCTTGCTTTTCATGTCCGTGTTGCTTCAAGTGCCGTGGATATCCGAGCTGGATTTAGCATGGCCAGCGCCTTCCATAACTGCCCCTACCGCCCCAACAGGGGCAACAGCACCATCCCTGCCAAACTAGCTCTCCAGTGCATGGATCATAGCAACAACAATAACATGGCTTTCTGCGGCGGGGTCTCCAACAACAAGTTGGGTACTGGTAGTACAGGTCTTCAAACATGCCAAGGCTGTCAGACATCTTGCTGTGCTGGAGGCGAACCTGAAACACAGCAGGGAGCAGAGGAGACATGACACATGTGCTGTTCTGATGGAATCAAGGGTCAAAACTTGCGTGTGACTCTCATGGGAATCTGGCAGGAACCTGGAGACTGGGGAATGGAGCAGAGAAATGCTGACCTCAACCCTCCTTTCTGCCTGTGTCGCTGCTCTCCTTTCCTCCACTTCATTGCTTTCCTGTACTTCCCCTCAGCTTCTCCCCCAAACAACAGCTTCAAAGCCTTCTTACTTCCTTTGCCTTCAAAATGCTGGCTGGAGAGCAGGCTCCAGGCCCCTGTGGGGCAGCTGCAGCAGGAGTGGGGGAGGAAGCCTTTAGTCCAGCCCAAGGCAGCCCATGGCCCGATGGTCCAGGCACAGTCCTGGGACGTGGGGAATGTGCATTCACTTCAGGACCCAGAACCCAAGTCTTCCTCTTTCTGTCTCCTGACACTGGGATCTCGGGGGTGAAGGTGGAGAGCACGCCTGAAGCTTGTTGCACTGCAGGAAGGATACAGCCTTAGGCAGTTTGCAGTTATGGATCCCACAATCCCGGGAAATGTCTGGACTGCAGGGAATCACCCCAGTTGGGGAGAGAGGTGGGGTTTTGGATATTGCTTCCTCTCTTCTGAGCTTTTCAGTGGCTGAACTTGCTGCCTGGTTTGAGTTGGAGGACCTAAAGTGTCTTCTTTAAACTAAGGGGGTCCTGGGCATCAGACTCATGATTTGGATTGTCACTCCTGACTGTTCAGCTGGGTCCCTCTTTCATTCTGGCCATTACTGTCCCAAATGCCCTTGAAATGCCAACCTCAGCTGTGGGGCCCTAATTCCTGCCAGCCACCAACTACAGTAAAACAACAAAAACAAGTGAAAGACCCTGAGCATTTCTGAAAACCAATGAACAGAAGTGCAAGTTCAGTTTTTAAATTACACCAGAAAGAAAGGTACTTGTAAGAGATCAAGCTGAGTTGGACTTACCTGGCTCACCGAAGAGAATCCAAGAAGTGATTAAAACATCCTCGCTTGTGTGACCTTTTATACAGTTCTCAGATTGCCGGGAGCATTTGTGGCATCTTCTGTACCTGACATCCTTGTTAGTGACAAAACATGCATGTGTCGTGTGTGCCAACCTGCCAAATACTGTAATCGTTTCACTCTGTGTTTGTAATTACTGTGTTTTTTAATTTAGTTTAGGACTGGGAGATTACACCCCACCAGGTGTCTTTTAAATTAAATTTATGGGTCAACCTTCTTCCTGGTCCTGCTCTACAGACTTCATTAGAGTTGGAGGATTTGGGGTAAGTCTGCAGGGTACACAGAGCAGTTGTTGGTGGGACCATTTGCTCTCCTGTGCATGAATCCAGTTTGGTCCATACTCATATGTGGTGGGGAGCGGGGTGTTTCTGAAACTCAAACAGGAGAAGGAGCCATTGTTTAGTATGCTCACGTGCGCACCTGACATTTTGATTCAGTGCCCACCAAAACCCATGGGCGTCAGCACATTGACTGGTGGAAGGACTGACATGCTTCATACATCTTGTGAACCCCACCTATGATTTTTATAACTTCTGGAGTGCCTTAAGCTTTGACTGTGTATTATTTCACTTTATGTCAAGGTTTAGTTTTCTTTTTGTCTCTGGGCTGAATTCCCCCCAATCTCTATTAGGGATTTATTTCTTCATTAATCTGCAGTGGTTTCACCAATGCAGCAACAGCAGGGTGCATGGCAGAAGCCTATTGCTGTGCTGCTTGATAGCAATGGCAGGGCATGGTTGTAGGAGAACAGAAAGCATGGGGTCTTAAGAAAGGTCTGAGTAGCAGCTTTGAAGCTGTATGAGGTGAAAGCCCTCGACTTTTTCCATACCGAACTAAGGCAGTTGTTGGCAAGCTCATATATTCCAAATAGAAAACCTGGGAAGATATACAAATGAGAGACAAAGAAACCCCGTTCCTGCTCATCTGGGAGTTGCAGAGGGAGTGTCAGGGGAGAGAACAGTGTGGTTTTGTTCTGCTTCAATATTCTTCTCTTGCCACTGTAAGACACCTGTGACCTTCGGGATGGACCCAGGATCTGTCCCCTCTGGCATTTCTTGTGTTCTTACTAAGGTGAAATGTGGTGAGATGACTGAGCTAATCTGAACACTGATCAGACTTGGCGTGTGGTAGGAGGCATGTTATGCAGAAAGCTTTTACAGAACAAGTCTCCTACAAAGTTTCTCTGTGTGTCTCCCTTTCAGGAGCCCTAGAAGTTGATGGCTGTTCTGAGTGCAACCACCAGCAGATCTGGCCTGTAAAGATTGAAATAAAGTTGTTGACACAAGAGAGAGAGAAATAGGACACTGCTTTTAAAATGCAATCTTAAAAGCTCTAAATTCCAAGTGTATAATAACACATGACCTAACTAAAGATTAAAAATGAGTGAGCTTGATTTCCATATTTAAAATATCTCTATTGCCTCCTACAAGGGTTCCTTCCGGTAGGAAGGTATTAACTTCCGGTAGGAAAGTAATGTAAATATTTGCCCCTGTTACAGCTGTAAAGATTGTTCTGAAGTGCTTTGATTTCCTAAATTCTGAGAGCGTTATAACATCCACTGTGTCTGTTATTAACCTTATTATCTGCAAAAATTAGTAGTGGTGTGTTGAGATTAAGGTCACATAATTGCCAGTAAAAGAGTTCATAAACTTGATAGTCCGGACTGCCATGTGTGCAACGTGCAACCGACTGAGCGAGGCGTCTCTCTCTCTCTCAGCAGTCTTCATTCTCCCTTGTAATTAAACAGGAGGAAACCTGGATATCAGTTTTGGAGAAATGGGGCAATGGAATAGAGGACTACTGCCTCCGAATACATACAGACAGGCCTGTGGCTCCTCCTTTAGCACAGAGACTTGTTTAAAAACTGGGATTGCAGATCAGCTGTTTTTAGGATTAAATTATCTCATTAGAAGATGCTTTTGAGCAGAACAGATTAAGAGGTTGAAGTGAGTGGGAGGGAGACACGAGGCTGCTCTGTGTTCAGTGTTATCAGTCATGGAGCCACTGCTGAAAGGGACCAAGTGCCCTATATGAGGGAGAAGTACAAACAGCTCATCGGGCTAGGAGGAAAGACCAGGACACACAGACATGCTTCAGGGCTTGTCTTCTCTGTGTAGCACTTTTGTGGGAACTGAGTCATGCTGGCTGCTGGGCTCTGCACAGGAGGGAATTTTAGCATCAGGTTTGCAAATAAGGAATGGAGGGGAAAAAACACCAGGAGGCAAATATTATGCTGCAGAGGAAGCTTAATGCACAAACCAAATTGAGTAAACCGACATTGATGGGATACAGGGGAGACAGCAAATATTCCCAAGGTTTTCCAGAGGGCCACAACCGGGATTCTACGCCTGGCCCATTTTTACAAGGTGCGCTCCTCTCTTTCAGCTGCTGACTTTTAATACCAAGCTGTTTCCATCTATTCAGTAACTACTTTTTCCCCCTGAATAATGTCACAAGAGGCAAATCACAATGTAAGGAGGGGAATAAATAGCTTCTCCATGATGCCGTTTGTGCAGCCAAGTTTCTAGTTAGAAGCAAAGGATAAAAGAGCTTCTCTTTCCTGTTGACCCCCAAACCCTTTTAGAGCCCTGTTGCAATGTCAAGTGGTCTGCAAGGGAGTGCAAGTGGAGTCCAGGGCGGCAGAGGCTTCCTTTGAAATGAAAGCACAGCATGAGGAGGGAGAGAACAGTTTGGTTATTTCCTTTTTAAATATTCATCTCCTTTACATGCCCTCGCTACGTCCACGTTTGGCTTTCATGTCTCTTGTTTTTTTTGCGTCAAGCTTCTCCAGGGCCATCTTCTCAAGTAAAGGATGAGGAAGTACATCATGTGGCCATCTTCTTTTACTTCACCTACTTTGTGCAGGAAGAGCAGAATACCGCCGTGGAAAAAGCAAGCGTGGAAATGAACTCGCTTCTAGGGAGATGTCACCTGACAAGTTCAGTACGAAGTGGAAAGCTTGTTTATAAGATGATGCAGGTTGTTCAAATGAAAAAACCTCTACTTGGATGGAGATGAAGTGTTTGGAGTGGAATATGAGTGTGTTGGGCTTGTCAGAAGAGGGGCCAAGGAAAGTGAAAACCCTTCTCTAAGGTACAACCCAGCATCTGAGTGACTCTAAACACTTTCTTAGTGTGTCAGGAGTTCTGGGACACTCCTCCCCCTTCCTTGGGTCTTTGTGGCAGGATTATAAACAACATTATTTTAGGGAAAAGTTCTCAAAGATTTCAATGTCAAAATGTATAGAAAACAGCCTGTTAGTGCTACCTTTCTGATAAATGGTGAAAATATTGGCTTCTGTTCTGAATCAAGCTCAATGCCAAGTTCAAAGAGCTGAAGAATATCCCCCAGAAAGGAAACCTTGAGTTTCAGCAAGTTTTTTCCTACCCTCCCAGTAGTACAGCTATTAAGTCATGTCCAGAAACCCCAGAAGAACTGGGACTGAACATGTAACCAGAAGCAGTGGGAGTAGGTCATCACATCCCTGATTTTGGCCTTTCTATGACTGTCTTTACAACCATCACTAAGGTCTGGCTCTTACTGCACAGCACCTTCTGCCTTGCTCAGGGTCTTTCTTTCTTTTTGCTGCTTTTGTTGCAGTAGGAGGTTGGCCGGCATTAGGGAGCCCACAGCTGAGCTTAGCATTTTAAGGGTATTTGGGACACTAATGGAGAGAGTGGAAAAGGGACCAGGTGAGGAGACGCTGTGCCATGCTGTGTGCAAAGTGTAGGTGTGCCCATTCAGGAGTGACAATCCATATCCTGAGCTAGGTGTCCAGGAGCCCCTTAGATTAAATGAAGAGACACAAGCTCCTCCAATCCCAACCAGGCACCATGTTCCTTCAGTCTTATCAAAGCCCAGAGCATATGGAGTAATATCCAACATCCCGCCTCTCTCTGCAACTGGGGGGAATCCCTGCAGCCCTGACACTTCCCAGGAGTGTGGGATCCAAAACTGAAACCTGCCTAAGGCTGAATCCTGCCTTCAGTGCAACAAGCATCAGACATGGGAGGCAGCTTTGCCCCCGAGATCCCAGTGGTAGGAGACAGAAAGTGGAAGACTTGGGTTCTGGAGCCTACTTTCCATCCAGCCTTTTGCAGGCAAAGAAAGGGAGAGGCTGAGGGAAAGTGGAGCAAAGGGACAAGGGGGAGGAAAGGAGAGCACTGACAGTGACAGAGAGGTCCCCTCCATTTCCCGGTCCCTGGGTCCATACCAGATGTCCCGGATAGTCGCACATAAGTTGTGGCCCTTGATCCCATCACTACTGCAGATGTGTCATGTTCCTCTACTCCCTGATGTGTTTCAGGTTTGCTGCCAGCACACCAAGATGTTTGACAGCTTGGACACGATCGAAGACCTGTCTTACCACGGCCAGGCTGGCTGTTTTCCCCACTACCGTAGAAGGCCACGATATACGTGTTGTTGCTATGACCAATGCGGAAGGCTGGTTTGGCAAGGTTGCTGCTGGTCCATAACCCACTGGTGGTGCTGTCAGGGTAGCTCTGGAGGCTGCTGGCCATGCTAAATGCAGCTTGAATATCCACGGCACTTGGAGCAACACAGATATGAAAAGGAATATACCGATTCACAGCTGACGTGAAGGACATGGCTTGGAGCAGTGCTAAGCACTCAGCACCTCCCTGAGCACTTTGCATTGCTAGAATACTCCCTCCCCGCTCACGTGTTTCCTAAGCCTTGCTTTGTCACTCTAGGAACCTTGAATTCTCCACACCGTTAAGCAGTAAGGCCTCTTCATGCCGTGCACTTATATAATCGGCAGCCTCTGCTTCCCTAGAGTCCACATGTAATCCATTGCAGACCACTTGACACAGCCACAGTGGTATCCAGGGGTTTGGTATCAACAGGAAAGAGAAGCTGTTTTATGTTTTACTTCTAGCTGAAATATTGGCTACTGGAACTTTATCATGTAGAAGCTGCTTATTCTCCTCCTTACATAGTGCTTTTCCTCATGTGACATTATTCAGGGAGAAAAATAGTAAATAAATAGAGACACAGCTTAGAATTAAAAGTTACCAGTTGCGAAGAAAGAAGCACACCTTG